GGGAAGTAAATGTTTCCCCTAAAACCATCTTAAAGGGCCCCAAAATTATTCTCAGAGAGGCCAAAATTATAAACTACAGCAAAATATTGACAGTGACCAAATATTACTCTCTTAACACTCTTAAAATTCAATATTTTTCAGGGATTTAACTAACCATTCCCTGGATGCCAGGTAGATGTGTGTGTGTGTTTTAAATAGTGACATCAGAAGTCCTCAAAATACCCTCCCCCCAAATGATGAAACCTTAGAAATGGCCCTAATTTATGCATTATCACTTACTTACTTTTGCCCACAAAAGCTCATGATACTATATATTTTTGTTAGTCTTTAAGGTGCCACAGGATTACTCCTTTTTAAAGTTACAGACCAACACAGATATCCCACTGACACTTACTTTACAGTGCAAATATATTGCTAGCATCCAGAAGTTTGTCTGTGGGAGCTAGTTTTAAGGATCAAATCCTGCAGATGGAATAAAGCCTGTATAAAATACCGAAGTATAAGCAATAAAGAAGAGCCTGGACAACCTCAGCCAGCCACACAGCTGTTCAGCTAGATTTCAGCAAATAATACATTAATAATGGGTGTGCACTACTGCTTCTCACTTAAAGCATGACTTTGATTCATAGCCACAGTGACCTTATCCCTTTCTTGTTTACAACCTGTCCCCCATAGATCTGCTGTGCAGGCCCTCTTTCCAAACCTGCAGAGCCTGCTGAGTCCTCTTGAAAGGAGCCTCCACTGTTACTAGCCCCATATTTTAAACTGCTTTGGGGCCTTGCAGAGATGCCTCAGAATTTGCCCCAACAGGGGTTAATTCATCCCTTTGTAAGAGTTCATACAAGATTCAGGGACCAGAGCTGGGTGATGGGAAGCCTTTCCATGTGGATAGAGCAGCCAGGCCCTCTCCCCTTACAACTGCTTTTGAAACAAAATAAGGGACTATGTAGCATTTTAAAGACTAACAAGACGGTTTATTAGATGATGAGCTTTAGTGGGCCAGACCCACTTCCTCAGATCAAATAGTGGAAGAGAATTGGCACCCTGGCTGTGATTCCCAGTTCCAGCATCGGCCTGGGAGACCAGGGGGCACCCGGTGTGTAGGAGAGCAAAGGCAGCGCCCGCACTACAGAGCTGCAGGCTGCGTTTGCACAGGTGGCGCCTGGCTACAGACCCGCAGAGCAGGAACCCCGGCGGGGCACCCACGCGTGTTTTCCGCTCCGGGCGCCCCGTTCCTTCAGGCCAGAGCAGCCGGGGGGGCGGGTAATATGCAGCGGCTCGCCCCGAGCGGCGGAAATGAGATTCCCTCCGCATCCCTGCTAGTGTGCGCGGTTCCCGCCCAGCCCTCGGCCCGCGGAGCCGCCGCCCAGCTCCTGCCCTGGCGCGGGGATTCCAACTGCGGCAGGTCCCAGGCTGGGCGCGCTGCGCAGGCTGCCGCTAAGGAGGGAGGCCCTGTAAGGTCGGCGCAGCAGCAGGAGGACGCGGGCCAGCCCTCTGCAGCAGCTCCCAGTGCCCTGGCGGAGCCGGAGCCGGCCCCGGGGGCTGGGGCTCGCTGGAGTAGTAATTTCCCCTTGGAGCAAAAGGTGGCTTGGTGAGTAAACTGCGTCTGTGTTTGCCTGCAACAGCCCAGCTCCCCCCTCCCCCTTCTTGTGCTGAGGGAGTTCCGCCTGCCCCCGGGGGCGGCCGTGACCGCAGGGTAACGGGACTGAGTCTTCCCCGTGGGAAGGGGCTGGTGCAGTGAGCATCGTGACGCCCCAACGCGCGAGAGGGCAGCTCCTCTTCTGCCAGCATGTGGGCAGGAATTGTCCCCCCGCGGGTGGGGGTGGATTCCGGGAGCAGGTCCTGTTTTCCCTCTTAAAACCGATGGTCTCTGACGAGCTCCACTTAGTGCTAACAAAATAATTCTAAAAAGCAAACTCCGTGCATTGCCCGGGAAATAAAACAGGCTCAATAAACATGTTGAGCCCACACCTGTTTTTAGATCGGCTCCACATTTCCAAACCGTTGCTGGATGCAAAGAGGACTCGTCTGTTTATTTGCTAACCTAGTGCAACTAGTTAACGCATTGGTTCTGTTGTTACCAAATAATATCCACTAGGATATGTCTTTTGCTCACTATGTGGTACCTCTAAGTTAGCCTATTGGCTAAAAGATTCGTGGATGCATTTTTGTCTTGTTTGCTAGCCACCTCTTAAATTTAAGATTTCCAATTTAATAGAATATTTACAACTTTTCTTCACAGCAAAGGGTAGCCCAAAAATGACAGGAATGCATTGACTTTGTAGTGGAAGGCATTTTTGTTTTTTTTTTTCAATCTGTGACCTTGCTAGTGGTCTGTCTATGTCCTTAGATTGTTTGAGTAACAACTTCTCACTTCAAGTCACTTTCTTCAATTCATAATGTTATTTCAAATATGACATACTTGCTCCTACTGGCTAATCAACTTTTAAACATGCTAATATATTATGTGCTTTCTCTGATATAATTTTTGTTTTATATGAAGTTTGACATTGTTGCCCTGACCCATAAATACATCTGTTCTTTTAAATGTTTACTGAATATTGGAATCTGACAATAAGAAAAATCAGATTTTTAAAGTTCCTACACAAAGAGCTATATACTTATCTTATGTTTTTAATTGAACCAAGTATTATTCCATAAACATTTTCAGGAAGCATCTTATTTTTTTCTAGTTTGTATAATACTGACAAAAACTGTATTGTTCAGTTGTGTATGCTATATTTTTAGATGATCACTCTGTAAAAGGAATTGTTGGATTAGTTCTCCTCTCCAGTACCCTGTCCACCCCAGTCTGGATGCTTTGACTGACTGTAGTACTCTATAGCACTCCTGGCTTGGTGTATGGATGAATACACAATGAACCGATACTATGAAATGGTTTGTTTATTATGAACAGAGAGACAAATATGTAGATGGAGAGCACTGACAGAGACCACATGGCAAAAAAATATAAATGTGTGCTCTAATAACTAACAGCATTTCAAAATCAGAATTGTTCTTGTATTCAAACAAAAGTGTTTTGAAGTGCAGGAACTGGGCATGCCCTGCTTATAAGGTTGCATTTCATTATGGTCTTTATCCCAAACCAATTGAACTTAGTAGGAAGACACTCATGATATCAATGGGTCATGCCCTTCAAAGATTAACTCTGGGATTTGTCCATTACTCCATGTGTAGTAATCTCTAATGCTGTTATTGGGAGACTCCTAAATCTTGCACGTGATGAAAGAATGGACTATGTGGCTTTCATGGGGACTTAGTTCAAGTTCTTTTCAAAAGGCGATGGAGTGGATTTACTAGTAGGCCTGAGATCTGTATGTATGTGTTCAGGAGTGTTGGAACAATTTTTAAAATGGGGATACTGAGACCCATTTAACCAAACTGAATAAATTCTGTATATAACAGAAATCACCTCAAGCCAGGTGGTGTAGAAGCACTCTTAGGTCCAGCACCTATGTATGTGTGTCAGAGAAGAGCTAGAATGTGAGAAGAAAGGTTTGGAATCAAAATTTGTGGAGATTTTTTTATATATTTTTGAGTGCATAAGTCAAGAAGTGTGAATTTCAGGTGTCATATAACATGTTTTGTGCTGACCCATATTCATATGCCACATTAATGTTGATGTATGTCTACTTTAAAAGAACGTAGACATTTTAAAAATAAAAATGATGTGCTAAAATTTATAGTATAGCATGGCTTTATGGAAATTAGCAGGAAGTCTTAATTTTTCTTTGCCTTGATACATTTTTGATTGGAACTTTTTATCACTGGATCAGTCAGGAATATCAAAAGTAAATCACTAAAATTTAGCTTTTGAAATGTCTAGGCTGCTTCTGAATTCCATGGTGATTGGTTGTGTGACAATGTACTGATATATCTTTTATATACAGGAAAACAACTGCACTGAAATATTTAAGAATGTGTAAGGACTTCCGCTACTACTTCCAGCACCCGTGGTCTCGCCTAATTGTGGCTTATTTGGTGATCTTCTTTAACTTCTTAATATTTGCTGAGGATCCAGTATCTCACAGTCAGACAGAAGCCAATGTTATTGTTGTTGGCAACTGCTTTTCCTTTGTAACAAATAAATACCCTGGAGAAGGAAGCTGGAGGTTTCTGAAGGTGCTTCTATGGCTACTTGCCATTCTCACAGGACTGATAGCTGGAAAATTCCTCTTCCATCAGCGTTTATTTGGTAAGTTCTATAACACATTAAATAACTTCACATTGTTAACATTAGTTAGTAGTTACCTCTTTTTTAAAACTTTGTATTCATTGTAATGTTTAAAGCTTTGCAATAAAAACTCTAAAACAAAGATACACTATAGCATAAACTTAAAAAACCAATAAAAGGTCTGGTAGCACTTTATAGACTAACAAAACATGTAGATGGTATCATGAGCTTTTGTGGGCACAGCCCACTTCTTCAGATGACTGTAGCGTGTGGTATAACAAAGATTACATTCTTGTGACACAGAGGCCCATTGGTGGTGTCAGCAATTCCTAACAGGCTTCACAGCTCACTTCAAGTAAAACACCACTTTCATAGTATGGATCCATAAAGAATATCATGTAAGGTATCTAGTACAAGCATATGTCATACTGATCTTTATCATTGTTGTGAGATGTATGGATAGATGATATTTGAGAAGTTATGTGTGTCCTGGTAAAATATATCCTGGTATGAATCACCAACACAGAGAGGTTTCAGATCAGGAGTGTTTGTTCATCTAGCAAGTTGAGATGTACATTGAGCATTGTATATTGTTTCACAATGGGGCTCTCTCCCATCACTAGCTTGAAATGGATGCTAATAGAAAAAGAGAGAGACATGGGAAGTAGGGATGTAAAATCCCATTTAACTGGTTAACCAGTTAAGGCAGGATGCTCCAGCCAAGCTGGGCTGGAGCACCCCTTCGCCCGCTATGGACAGGCTGCAGTAACCCCCCCATTGCAGACAGCTAATCAGGCCACACTAGTTAATCAGAAATGGTAAGTATCACCTCTTACGGATGATGCTTACAGGTTAATCAGTTAATCTTTCTTGTTCTTAGTGGTAAGTCAACAGAAAAAATAAGCATCAGGGGAAGAGATTTTATCTGGGAGTGTGCTTCAAAGGTTTACTGTTCTAGAACAAGAACAAGGTGACAAGTAAAGCATTTTGTTGTCCTGCTCTTCAGGATGTAAATCAGGCAATGTGATTGCATCTGTGAGAAGAGGCTGTCAACCGGGCTTGTTGGAAAATTCGGCAAAAAATTGGCTTTGGGAGAAACTACTTTAGACAAGGATTTTAGCTGGTTAAAATCTAGTTTATGAGATGCATGGTATACTTTCTTGTTTTCTATATAATCTTTTCTGATCCCATTATCCTTAGTATTTCTTGAATTTTAATCTTTGATAATAAATTTATTATTTTCATTATAAATATGTAGTTCAGTGCTGTGATCCTATCCATGACTTGATCCTGAATTGTACCTGGCTGCCACGCTGTGTGCACACTGTTCTTTTGGGGACAGCTTACTGGTATTTTCTATGAACCTGCAGTGATAGGGGCTGGGTGGTACAGAGGGAATACTCAAAAGTTAATGTGAGCTGTTACTAGGCTGAACAGAAAAAGCCCTGTCTGTGGAAGCCTGGAAGACAAGGCTATCATTGCCAGAGGCTTGTTCAGTTCAGAGAGCTGAGCTGCAGCAGGCTCAGATGAGACTGCTTCACTCAGAGAGAAGAAAGGTGCTGGGGAAGTGCCTCACAACCCTGGGTAACCCTGAGGAGCATCACAAGACTTCATCAAGCACTTAAATGTATATCTCAGCTCTACAAGTGGGGCTGCAGTTTAGCCTGTCTTTCTCCATCCCATCTTTTACTTCATCTACATTTTTCATCGCTTCTATTTCTGAGTTCTCACTACCACTTTTTCTTATCTCTTCTCCTCCTCCCACCTCTCTCACACACTAATTTTTGTTCCCTTTTTTTGTTTTTTTTTGGTATTCGTTCCCTCCCCCACCTTTACTACCAAGTTCTGTTTGCCAAGGGAACCATGAGCTGTTGTCTTTGCAGTCTGTCCATACCTTCTGCAGCAAGTATGAAGCTGAATGACCTTAATGAGTGCGTTTTCCTGTGTAAGATCTTGGCTCAGGAAGAAGCTGCAAAGTGAAACTGAGAGTGACTAGTCAGTTTCTCTGTGCAGCTGAGTTCAATTCAGATGGAGGGGAGAGAGAGAGAAGAGGGCTTTTCTTTTCCCTCCACCTCCTTCTGGTCAAGTCCACATCTTGTTAATTTCACTTTGTTGCTTGTCTTACAGGTGGAGTTAGGCAGGGAGAGAGTTAGAACAAAGTGTCCATCTGCATGGCCTACCATATATATCCACATTTGACACCAGTTCAACAAAGACTGATGGTATAGATTATAAATGCAGTGCTATTTGGTTGAAACATCCTAGGTTGCTACGCACAGTACAGGAGATGGGAGCAGAGTTTAGACATCATATTTTGGATAATTCATGGAGAGTTAAAGGGGTATATTCTCCCCTTGATGTGTTCTTATTAAAGTGTGTGAAATAATGGTAACGATTGGATATCTTGATTGTGAAGGGTATTTGTGAAATGCTTTACTACCCATTAACATGAAGTTCAGCCTTTGAACAAGAAGCTCCACAAGAGTTTCCCATTTTTTTTCAGATGACTTTAATGTAAAGCATATGATAATCTGTGTAAGGAATAAAATGACAATTTTTCTCCTGTTCAGTCAAACAAGTCCTTATTTCATTTGATGATCGTCTCCAAAGAAAACAGCCATTATCTAGCATTGGTCTTATTGTGTGTGGTAAGAGTAAATTAAACTTTAAAGGTACCTTTTGGCTGTTAACACCATTACATTCTTCTTGACTTATGCTTAAGTATCTTGGTATTTGGTGAATGACAGTATTTTTCTATGCATCTAATTTTTAATTTGAAATGGAAAGTTCATAAAGGAAAAACCCAGGAGAAGAGCGATTAAAAAATATGTACCTGTTGCTGAGAAGGGAACAAACAATGACAGTTACTCAAGGATGGGGAGACGACAGCTGCCTGCTGTGCACTTACTCTAGGGATTCCCTCAAGCTTGATCATTTGTTGTCTGCTTTGATTTAAAAAAAAGCAGAAACAACTTACAAACTATCCCATTAAATGGCATTCTGTATGTAAAAATCACATTTTGCCCCAAAGTAATCTGAATTAACTCTTGTACATTAAATTCTTTTGGCTATAGTATTGTTCTAAAGGCAACACAACATCCAGCAGTATGAACAATGTATGTATTATTAAAGTTTGGCTTAACTTTATCAGATCACATGCTGGAATTATTGCATCTTGTAAGGACAAGTCATGGAGTCTTAACTTGTGCCAGATCTCTCCCACTAATTCCAAGTGTAGTCTCTAGTATAATGTGTGACAGAACAACTACATAAACATGACCCAACAAATGAACTTAGAGCATCTTCCATTTAGTAGATTCTACCTCTGAGAAGGAGACCCTGTACTAAAAATGAGAAATACATCTGAAATGGGCAATATCTGTCAAAAAAGGAGAAATATTTTCATCCCCTCATATGTATGTTGTGGTGACCTTTGTCATAATTCTCATCTCATGCATGCTCACTAACATTATATAGAAATATTCACCATCTAACAAACCTATCCACATGCATATTTATTTATTAGCTTAGCCAGAACCATAAAAGACAGATTAAAAACTGATTAAAATTGGTTGTTACAGAGACTGAGTTCAGCTTAGTGGCTAGCCAGTGTGCCTAGAGCTTTATGCTTATTTTAGCTCCTTTCTAAATAGAGTTGAGAGAGGGTAAATGCTGAGTATTTTAGGTGCAGGCAGCTATCTCTTATTTAAAACAGGAGGCACCATCATACTGCAATTATTTCCTTCAGGCAAGCAAATACTGAGTTTTTTATTAGCTCCTACCCTACAATATATAGATATGAAATACAATGATGCATTTGAATTTGAACATTGGAATGAATGCCAAATACAACCTTATTTTAGGAATTGTATTTGCCTATGGTCCTATGACGACAGTTGCACTTCAAAATAGACAAATATGTGTTCACGAGTTCACCTGTCCTGTGGTTACTAATTTAGACAAAACTCCCATTGAGTCAAGGCTTTCCAGTAGCAAGACCTATTGTGTGCAGATATCAGATTTTAAGTATTTTGCATTTATATAGTTCCTCTTTATCCTGGAGAGCCCAAAGTGCTTTGCAAACTATATAAACATATATAGCAGTCTACCATTGAAATGTATCCACCTCTGCATAAAATAGGGCATCTTTTATGCAACAATTTAGGAAATGACATTATAATAGTCAGATTGCAGAGGGAAGTTAGCTAGACAAAAATGAATTTCGGCCAAGGCAGCAAGGCCCTGAAAGTTAACAAGTCTACTTTTGGAAGAAATTTAGATCTTTAGGCAGCTCAACATAAGTTTTCTTTATCACATGGCAAGAGTTCATGAAATATGCCACCTTGATGAGTGAGCATTTTGAAATATCAAGGTGTTAACATAAAAGTTGATAGGCAAAGCATGTTCTTCATTTGCTGTCAGCAGTATATGAGATATTACAAGTAGATTTGCAGCTGTAAATAGCCAGAAACTACTTTGCAGATATTTGATTTCTACTTGATGACTCTTGGAAAATAAGAACTGACACATCTGGTAATGAATAGGTAAAAGATACTGTACTCAGTAGCCCACTCAGTATAAATGCCAGTGGCAATCACCAAGTTAATGTCATAGATGGCATTCAATTCAAGGTCTAGCTCACTGCTTCACCACAAACGTTCCTCTTTAAGTGTGTTTCTTAGCATTAGATGAAATAAAATTAGTTTTCTCCTTCACGGTCAATAGGCCCAATCTATGAACTAACTAAAAATATTTCTCCTTCCCTTCCATCACACAAGTGAATATGAGTGAGGGTTTACAAAAGTAAATCAAAATACTTGAAAAAACTGACAATCAGTCACTGCTCATGAATGAAGGTTGGTCAGTTTCCAGCATTTACTGATAGTCAATATCAAATGTTGGCTTGAAATAATCTGGGCACCATTCTTACCTGAGAAAGTCCTTCTAGTAGATATAGTGTACTTAGATTTCCAGAAAGCCTTTGATGAGGTTCCTCATCAAAGGCTTTTAAATAAAGTAAG